AAAACAAGTGACCATCAAACAACGAACCGGTTTTCACAGTCGATTATTTTTGCACACGAATCGAACACAACACCAAATAAGTTAAAATTTTAAAAGAAATATTTTGACCGGTAAAAATATAAAATTTTCTCAAAGGTAACAGATTACCGGATACGCTAGAATGATATCGTTAAAAATTTTCAAACGTATTCAGACGATATAAAAAATGTAAAACGATTTATTAGAGCACAGTATAGTATTTTTTACGTAAGCTATCAAATACTACAAGCAATTTTTTTTTTACATATTCGATTTTTTATTAAATTTAATAATATATTATTCGATTAGATACCACGAATCACCATGCTCTTTATTAACATTATTCCAACAGGTGTATTTCATATAAAAATAGCAAAGCATACAAGTTGCTTATAAAAATAAGTGAAGAATATACTAACACACTGTATTCTATTGTATTTCTATTTACAAGATGTAATGTCATTCAAAAGATTGTCTTGACTTATTTTGCTGCGCAATAGTTTTTTGTGTAATTTTACAGTTGTACCGCCAACAATAAGCATTGCTTTTTATCATAAAAAATTAAGTTTCCGTCGAAAATGTTCTAATGTTACATAACAACATTTAATTCAAAATAAATAATCATTCATAAAACAAAAGTATTATGTAACTCCGGAAGTTTTTTCATACATTTTGTAAATTGTCGTATCAGTTGTACATTTTCAGCTTTATTTATTTATTATCCTTCCACACTTGGTTTTTTATACCACCTTCAGACATTTCATCGTTACGATAACTAGATCTCAAACACAATATTTCTTTAAAAGTTACATGACTACAATTTTATTATTTATTTATAGTGTAATATTTTTGATATAGCAATAGATGTAATACGCTTATATTAAATCATAATATTGCAATAATTTAAGAAAATTGTATTTAGTCGTTGGTTGGTATTTGTTTTAGTATAGTCACGTGATGGTGATTAAACTTTTTGCTTCTTTCTACCAATGTGGAAACCATCAGTGACTTTATTTTTGCCACAGCAATACGGTGTGTCAAAATCAAGCCAGGCATATCTTTTGTCTTATTTAGGAAATTGTATTATATAAATGACGTTTAAGATATTACTGTCATTTTTAATTTATTTGTACTAAGTAAACTAAGAAATGGTATTGCCATAATAATTATAACCAATTGCTTAATTTTACTTTAAATAGGTCGAGTAAGGTATATTTAATAATCTCATAACCAAAAACTCATTTTCTTATGTGCATTATAATTTTATGCAAGTACAGTACATATAAAATCAGTTTATGGCCAGTCTTCAGTGAACATCAGTATGTTCAAATTATGCAGTAAAACATATGTAAATTGACATTTTAAAGATATTTGAAACATGTAAATATTAAAATACTGTAATTTCCGTTAAATATTTTTTAATGTAAAGAGTCTAATTTATCTCAGGTACATATAGATTCGGAAAAAAAAATACTTTACGAAAAGTTTTTAAATTTCTAGTGAGAAAACAGGAAAAAATTTGTTGAAAAATAATTAATTTACATTAAAGTAATAACTTTATTTTCAATAGTAAATAAATTATGAATTCCATACGAGTTGGACTAAATATTTTCTTGCATTTCATTTAACTCTAAACGTGACACGAAACTTGCGGAGATGATAAGACACGACTAATTATTTTTGATAAAAAGAAACAACGTATTAAGTAAAATACATTAAGAAGAAAAAGAAACACATAAAATACAATTAACTATAAGACAAAACAAAATCATGTAAAATACTTCTTAAATACCAACTATTGATTATAATAATTGTTTCACATTTCACAGTAAAGCAATTCGATTCGGATAATTTATCTAGAGAACCTTATAAGTACGGCATTCTTGTTGTCTTGATAAACTTATTTGTTAGACATTATCAATGAATGCATAGATCGTGTAGGATGCAAATCGCCAACAGCTGCTGCCGCAATGTATGTCCATATATTATTATCATTACTAATATTACTATTATTCACTACAAAAGGTTATCGTGTTTGTTGTTTCAATCTTCTATACTTTGTGACAACAACAGCGCGTGACTCATCCGCTGATGGTCCGGTCGATATTGCCATGCATTTATTTTCAATTTTTTCATTGTACACCATACACAATTTTCAATTCAATTTTCTCCTTTTACAACGCGAAAATTAAAACCTTGAAAACCTTACGATTTTCATTGTAATACGGTAGCATAAGTTACTAAAACCGAGGTCATCAGATGCCTCCCGGGTGTTATTTAATTAAAACTTTGTTAAGAATACGGTCGCAATTATTCCACTAAGTTAATACTTTAATACCCGGATACTTAAAATGAGGCTCAGAGTTTTTATTGTTATACTGTTGTTAGTCGGCTACCTTTCAATTTCCAATTCTAAAATTCAACAAAAAACATGCGTATATTGTGAGTTGCTGACGTTCAAAACATTATATCATAAACATAAATGACATGTACAACCCCATAATTCTAAGATATACTCTCGATTAATTGATTAATAAAATTTGATCACTAGTGAAAAACAAAACCGATCAAATGAGTTTTAAAATAAGAACAAGTGATTTATTTACCGAGCGAACTATTGAAAATAACCATAAATACATTAATCATGAACGCAGAGCTGGCATTCCGAAGTTGTAAAAAAATTTATTTTTACCAATTGAACAATATTTTATAATTGCACGGTATTTTTTTTTAATATATTTTTTTTGTAGCATCCTATGTTAAAAAAATGCCTACTAAAATGATTAAATTTTACCAAGTAAGTAGGTGTAACCCCCTAAGCTCTATTCTCGGGATGGTCCTGTATGTACGAGTAAGTATGATATACAATATCATTATCACAATCATTTTTGAGGTAAGGACTAAGTTAGTTAAGTGATTTAACAAAGAATATTAAGACAGTGAGTTAAATAAAACACGTTAAAAAAATGTCAATGAAGGCAAGTTTGCTCAATTAAATAATATCATAAAAAATGAGAAAATTTAAATAAAACGTTTACATTCTACATTAAACAAAAATTAATGTAAATCATTCTAAAAGTATTTCGATTAGTTTAACATTTATTTCGATTAAAATATGACAATTAAGAGTTATAAACATATTTTGGTTAGTCAGGCCATTAACAGTAATCAACAGTAATTGATAATTATTTGTTAACGATGAGAAAAAGGTTTATTTATTAGTATTTAATATATGACTACTATAGGGTAGGCGTCGAAGTTGTATACTTGTAATATATATGATCCTTTATGATTTACGTTTTCTACTGTGAAACCGGTTGCTAGTATAATATTTACCGAAAGGGTTAGTCAGATTCTTTAGAAATTAGCCTTATTAGATTACACCAACTATCATGGAATTCATGATGGTTGGAGAAACTGGTAATTTTCGGTGCATTCTACAAGAAAACATTCCAATGATTTGATGATATCAAGTTAATGCATCGATTTTTTCCAATAGCATACTTTTAGAATGATTTTTAATATTAATTTATATGTACAAAATAATACACTATCACTTTCAAGTGGAATTATGAAAAGATATTTTCTTACAGCAATGTTTTTACGGTCAGAATTAAACACAATTTAAAGCGATAAAAAAATCGCCATTAGGATATAATTGTTTAAGGTTTCGAAATATAAAATAAACGCGCTTTCGTTTTAACTATCACGTGGGAGACGCGATAAATATATTTGTCTGAAAATATCGATCAACTTATACGCTTTTCACTATACATTAACTGTCGGAGATTACTTTTTTTTTGTACCTATAGTCACAAACGAATACTTGTAATTGACTTTTACTTTTTAATAAATACCTCCATTCCAATCTAGTCGAGAGATAATTAAGTTAACATATTTTGTCTAACTTATAATATTTCAATGTTAATAGATTAACATTGAATAGTCAACACCGTACAGAAATTACTTGAATATTGGTTTTACGTCGCGAAAATTAACTCTTAATGGATTTTGCTTTTGAAGTTTATTTTCATTTATACAAATACTGATAAACATATACTACAAGTAATTAAGAGCTATTTCGCATTACTATTATTTGCTTATTTACGACACCAAAAGTTGACTAATACACAATTAAAATAGCTGAGTAATTCGTCACTGCAAAAACAATAAACACTTCAATGGAAGAATTTATTATTGAGTCGGTGTCACACAGTTGCTTTAATATAAATCAATGTTATCGATACAACCAGAAATAACCACATGTTTTTCAGTGTCATGTTTAGTAAATAATATAAATAGCTTAGTTTACAAAATTAAATGATATCTTTGAGATTGGCTTTGTTTAGAAAAGAATTTTTTTTTATTTTTTGTAAGAAAAAACAATGTTACTGATAATTTCATTAGGTTTTTTTAAAAAATAGTTATTAAAATTATTGATATGGAATATAAAGTTTTTAACTATAGTATATTAAAGACAAAAACGTATTCATTTTTAAAATAGCTTCAAATATGGTTATTTTTAACGTCAGAAAATATTTAAATGAAAAATATTTGATTAATTCAATAAAATATAAATAATTGTTTCGAATAATTTAAATTGAGGTACAAGCTATAAGTTAGTAAATATTTTTTAATTCGAAATCAATCGTTCAATATTAAATTTTTTATTTTACAGAGTATTTTAAATTATTTTTTGTTTAAATTTAATCAAGGTTTAAAAAAATTATATATAATTGTATTTTATTATACTGATCATTTATAAAATTATATTGAAAATGTTAATTATAATAGCAAAAAATGGCTTTCAGTAGTGTGCAATTTATCATTTATCAAAGTTGTCTATGTTCATTGTTTAAAACATATCACATTGATGGAAGTTTAATTTATTGTTTGAAAATATTTTTTATTTGTATTATTACAAACTGACTATGGCAATCATCTATTTAATTGTTTTAAAGCAATTCTAATAAGTCTCTTACCTGGTTAATGAAGAATTGACTTAACAGAAATATACTGCTTTCAGAAGTTTCAATGTAAATAGTCCTTACAGTAAAATTTTATATTTTTCTCTGCAAACAATACTAACGGTCACCATAAGTAAACATAAACGTTTGCATAAATTATGACATAAATTGTAAAAGGTACAATCCTTTAATTAAAATTTACATCCAAAGTAACAACGACGGCTACGCACCACAACACTCGCGACTAGACGTTACTGTGACACACGTGCCGGTTTCAAATGTTAACTGTTGACCGCCGCCGCTGGAACAGAACACGCGTGTGTACCTGAGTTCTCAGCGCCATCTACACCTCAACATGAGTCAACGGTGCATTGTATTGTTATCGTACAGACAACTATGTCCTTTATCGGAGAAAGCCCAACGAAATGCAGAAAAAATGACCAAATGTGTATTAGACACGCTATCGAAATATGATTGGTCTATGACATTTTAATTGACAACTGGCTGTTGATGTATTCATTAACTTATTTTTTCATCAACCGACACTCATACACTTGTTATGGTAAAACCTAATTAAACAGTTGAAACTGAAAAAAATTATAAATTTTCTTCACACGAACATCACATTGAAAGCGGAAGTACACATACGATCTTATAATTGTTTTATGTCGTATAGTCTATTCTGTCTTCCTGATGCGCGCCCTAGAAAACAATAAAACGCGATATTAAACTACGTGAAAGTTTTTATACGTCGATTATTTTTACTTTTTTTAGGATATTTCGCACGTTTAAGGAAACAAATGCGTGTAATGTAAACCAACATTACTTGTAATGTTCAAAACCACTGTTCTCAGACTTAATATGGATGCTCCATATTAGCACCAACAATTTTTTCTAGAAAAGTAATAAGAAGTTTCTTTTTTTTAAATAATATGACTTCATTTGGCTAATTTGAATCATACCCAATCTATACAAATATTATTATATTTATGAGGTTCAATCAACCATTCGACTTTCGGTTTACAAATAATTTTATATGGTGTTACTTAAATGTTTTTATTATTGTGTGAGTTGTGTTATTTTTAATATATTTTTATAAAGTAATGTGTAAATAGTACTCTTTTTTTTTTAATATCTTTGAAAAATGTACCCAATTTATTGTACCATCTAGTAAAAATTAATGAAAATATAAACCTATACATTGAATCAAATATAGCTATGTTATACTTATCAGTTTTTCCACATATACGCGATTAATACTTAAGGTATTAGATATAAGAATGAATAATTATTGTGAAATAGAAAATTCATTAAAAATCATTAAATAATGTCACGTCTTGTATAATATATGTAATAATATGTTAATGAAATAAATCATCATAAAATAGTTTATTGTACATAATTGAGCAAAAGAAAATATTTAATACACATGTTTGAATACTACCGAAATTATTAAATGTAAAACTTACAAAATAATATTCATAAAGAAAAATATCATTATTTTTTAAATATTAAAATACATGTTATTTACATTTATCGTTTTCAGACGCTTAACTAAATTAGTTAAGCGTCTGAAATATAACGGTTAAATATTGTATTTATTTTTTATATAAATGTACTCTTAACAAATGGTATTTGGTGATACGTCGACAATGAAATTATTGCTGTTTAATGACGTACTAACATTGTTACCATCGTTACTGTGTCAAACGATGATAATATCAACAGGATAGCATATAAAAAATTATTTCTACATTAAAGTTTATTGGAAAAAGCAATTTTATTTCTATTTGTGTTATATTACAAACAATAATTATTATCGTGTTTCATTAATGGTTTATAGTTTAGCTTAAATGTGTTCTTTATGATGAGTTAAGAATATTTTGACTGTTGCTATAAAAACACCCACCGTACTTTTTAAGGTCTATTACGATTTATAAATACAAATAATTCTTTTCAGAAAATATGTTTATGAACGAATTTATTTGGTCAATCAGGTTACTAAATATTTATGTAGTAATTAAGTATGAATCATATACAGTGTTTCTAACTTCTTAGTAACAGTTATTTTATAACATTACCTTATATTTCTCAGCGCAAGATCACATGTATTTAAATTTATAATTGTACTCGTATCATATTGATTAGAAACGATTAAAATTTGAGAGCAAAGTTCACAATTGATAGATGATGGGGTCAAGATTTAGGATGATCTGGAAAAGTATTGGCTATTAATAATAAAGGATGTCATTGATTTAATAGCAGAGAATATGGAATAATGTAATACCTTTGCATTGGAATTATAAATGATATTTAATTTAAAAAGTTCGACGTATGTGTCAAATTCTTTAGAAGCGGTTAACATTTATTTATTTGACACTATTATGGAAAAAACGCTTCGGGTCAAAAGGAAAGTATTACAGGATAGCATATCAAGATTCATCTAAGATGTAGTACGTTACGTAGGTCGTAGGGGTGAACTACAACCGTGTCTGACCTCAGTTAAAAAAACAAACAAATATATTATACGCTTGTTCTAGCAAAAGGAAACTAACTTAGCATGGCTGGTAAAACACATTTGGATACTTGAACTTATTGTTATTCTCACGTTTTGCTGTGTTACATCATTACATTTTAAATATTATACCAAGAAATTAAGAGTTTATCTGGTTGGATTTAATTTATCTTTTCTAAACGTGATGCGAATACAAAGTGAATTGACAAAATGTTTGTGGTTTCTTTATTTTACATTGAAATTTAAATAAATACTACTAAGAATATAAAATTTTCCTTAATGAAATTACTAAAATACTTATAAGAAAGAGAAACAATAAAAATGGTTTTCACTAGATTCTTCAGATAATTATGAAATGCAAACCACTTAATATAAAATAAACAATGTAAATAAATATGTTATTTTAATTTTTTAAATCACTATACAAAAATACTTTATTTTATATTGATTTACAAAAATTATTCTCGGATATATAAAATTTCTTAAAAGTTGTACTTTGTAGATAAACTGTGAAAAATATCTCGGGCAACAAAATAGATGAACTAAAAACAACAATATAAAAGAATCAAATCATAGCTTTATTATAAAACATCAATTAATATTTTTTAAACTAATTACAAAATTTTGTTTAATAATATTATTATGTTCTATCCAGTTGACATAGCTTTTATAACATAAAGTAGTGGGGATATTCATCCCTCTACTACCTCCACTACTATGATTTTATGTCCGGGCCCTATGAATCCCTGTAAAAACGCCATTGCACTAGTTTATTTCAAGCTATGTCATTCATCTAGTTATTTACATTATATTAATGAATGCATCTACATATAATTTAGTAAATTTTATTATGTAGTTTCAATAATCAAGTTTTTATACGTGTGTAAAACATTAAAAGAATATACCTTGAAAATTTTTTTTCATTGACCTTGTACGTTCACTGGACGTAGTTAAAATAAAATAAATGAACCACGACGATCACTGCTTTATTACAATTTGTGGGCCCCTTTAACAGTAAATTTAATGTCGAGGTCAAAATTGGTTGTCACTTGCATTATCGCCTTAAATGTGTAGTCTATACCTATTAACAACTTGGTGTAGGCAAATTGATTTAGTGACTTGAATATTGCAAACGTATGTTATTTCAATTATTTAAAATCATTTGTTAATTAAGATGAGTATAAGATATTGTATAGAACGATGCAAAAAAAAAAATATCTGAAAAAAGTTAACATTTTAAAACTTTTTTTAATTAAAAAGATTATTCCTATTTGTCTATAGATAATTTTATTATAAAAAATTTGGTTGTATAATAACATACGTTGCATTATTATTCCTTTAATGAATTTTTTACTGAATGCATTTCAATATTTCAGTTGGCACCTTATTGATCTAAGTAAATTACTCTCTTAAAATGAAACTATATTTTTTCCAAATGCTAAAGTAAATGTTATCCAATGAAGTTAATTTCAATAAATTGATATTTCAATATAATCATTAACTAGAATTGTGTTAATATTTCAATGGCCATTCATTACAGATAATATTCGTAGTCTATTCTATATATTTATATATATTAAGCATAACTCTCAAGTAATTATTTATGAGTGATATACTGCGACTGAATAAACTAAACATAGCGAAGGTTAACCTATACAAATACTACTAGTGTCGTATATCGGCTTATGTAATGTATATTTTATTGCCTGATTGAGTGTAATTTATACGTTCCCATGTCCTGGAAATTAAGTGGCAATCGACATCGAACTAAAATATTTAAAACTACTTGTTAAGGTGCTATAAATATAAAAAGTGCTAATATAAGGGTTATTATTATTATAAATATATAGAAACATTTTTGCATTAGCAAGTCAATTTCATTGAAAGTGAATTTTATTATTATTATTATTTTTTTAAACATTTACAATAGTTTCTAAAATTTTTTCATTTGCTATAGTAGTAAAACAGATCTCACACAAATATTTCATTGTAATCTAATAAGAAAATTATTGATGTATGTAAATGATTTACATAATAAAATATAGAAATAAATTTAATGATACAAAATTTTGTGTTGATAAATTTTTACGCAGATTTCTTAAAATTACCTGATAAATCAATAATGAAACACAATGTAAACATGTTTTTGAAGTACCAAGATGTGGTAGTATCTCTAAAAATGAAGAAAGATACAAATTATGTAAGAATAGGTTATTCAAAATTCAAGGACAAATTAAATAAGCATTTGAGAAAGATGAGACGAGTATCTGCGTTTTCAAATAAAAACATAACCTACATAATATGTTAAGTATCGATTCGTCAAGCTCAGTGCATGTCATTGTAGTAGTTATAGGTATTTAAGTTAATGTTTTAAAATAATTAAGTTTCATGTCACTTTATTGAATTTTTATATTTCTTGATAAATTAAAGTATAGCATATTAGTTTTTATAATTAAATTAACATTATTAGAGTAAATGTAAAAATAACAATAATAATAATAATTCAAACATTATTTATTAATAAAGATGTTTTCTACTTATAAATGATGCTGAAAAATTAACTTTAACAATATTGTTTTTTTACACGTTTGTATTATCAACATTATTACATTAACAATAAAAACATTTTTTGCTTTAATAAAATAATTTCTGTAATTAAAAATGAACATATCTTTCTATTTAACTAAAAAAATATCAAATGAATGCTTTCTTTTACAAAATAAATACTCGTTTTTTAATTATTATTATTTATAAACTAAAATTAAATACAATTACTATG